ATATATATATATGTGTGTGTGTGTTGTAAATGCTAACTCCTATACCTGTGGATGGAATCCCATTTGGGAATAGTTTTCTTTGTTATGATAATGAGGCCATATCAGTGTAGGGTGTGTCTTAAACCAATCACTTTTGAGATACAAAAGGAGCAAATTAGGCACAGATGCAAGGAAGCACACCAAACCCAAAACCAAACCCATTGTCAGTGAGTGGATTCCAACTCATAGTGACCCTATAGGACAGATTAGAACCGCCCCAGGGGGTTTCCAAGGAGTAGCTAGTGGATTTGAACTGCCGACCTTTTGGTTAGCAGCCAAACGCTTAACCACTTCGCCAGGAGGCACAGAGGGAAAGATTGATGCCATGTGGAGATCACCAAGAAACCAAGGAAGAAGCATAAAGAGACAGGGATTTTCCCCCACAGCAGACAGAGAGAGCCTTCCCCTACAGCCAGTGCCCCGAAGTCAGGCTTCTAGCCTCCTAAACCAAAACCAAAACCATTGCCGTCAAGTTGATTCCGACTCATAGCAACCCTGTAGGACAGAGTAGAACTGCCCCATAGGGTTTCCAAGGAGCAGCTGGTGGATTCGAACCACTGAACTTTTTGGTTAGCAGCCAAGCTCTTAACCACTACACCACCAGGGCTCCTCTAGCCTCCTAAATAGTAAGAAAATAAATTTCTGTTTATCAAAGCCACCCACTTGGCTTTAACATGGTATTTCTGTTAAAGGAGCACTAAGAAACTAAGACAGTTCATTGCAGCACTGTTCCCGATAGCAAAACAATGGAAACAACTTAGGTGCCCATCAATGGATGAACGGATAAACAAATTATGGTATATTCACACAATGGAATACCACACAACAATAAAGAACAATGATGAATCTGTGAAACATAACATGGAGGAATCTGAAAGGCATTATGCTGAGTGAATTTAATCAGTCCAAAAAGGACAAATATTGTATAAGATCACTATTATAAGAACTCAAAAAATGGTGTAAACACAGAAGAAAACATTCTTTGATGGTTACGAGGGTGGGGAGAGAGGGAGAGCGGTATTCACTAACTAGATAGCAGACAAGAATTATCTTAGTTGAAGGGAAGGACAACATACAGTACATGGGAAGCCAGCACAACTGGACTAAACCAAAAGCTAAGAAGTTTCGTGAATACAATCAAACACTTCATTCCGAGGGATAGAGTAGAAGGGGCGGAGGTCTGGGGATCATGGTTTCAGGGGACATCTAGGTCAATTGGCATGACAAAATTTATTAAGAAAATATTCTGCATCCCACTTTGGTGAGTGGCGTCTGCAGTCTTAAAAGCTCGAAAGCAGCCATCTAAGATGCATCAATTGGTCCCAACCCACCCGGTGTAAAGGAAAATGAAGAACACCAAAAACACAAGGAAAATATTAGCCCAAGAGACAGAAAGGGCCACATAAACCAGAGATTCCCTCAGCCTGAGACCAGAAGAACTAGATGGTGCCTGGCTACCACCAATGACCACCCTGACAGGGAACACAACAGAGAGTCCCTGACAGAGCAGGAGACAAGTGGGGTTCAGAATTCCAATTCTAGTAAAAAGACCAGGCATAATGGTTCAACTGAGACTGGAGTGACCCTAGAAGACATGGTCCCCAGACTCTCTGTTGGCCCAGAGCTGAAACCATTCCCGAGGACAACTCTTCAGACAAAGATTAGACTGGACTATGGGACATACAGTGATAATCGTGAGGAGTGTGCTTCTTAGCTCAAGTAGATACATGAGACTAAACAGGCAGCTCCTGTCCAGGGGCAAGATGAGAAGGCACAGAGGGTCAGGAGCTGGTTGAACAGACACAGGAAATCCAGGGTGGAAAGGAGGAGTGTGCTGTCGCAGTATAGGGAGAGAAACTAGGGTCACATAGTAATGTGTGTATAAATTTTTGTATAAGAAACTGACTTGAATTGTAAACTTGCACTTAA